TTTAAATTCACACCTTATGCAGTAAAAAGAGTTTGTTTTTTGTTTTATAGTCAATTTTGACCCTTGAAGTTTTAATTTTTTTTACAATAAAATTGAATTTTATTGTGTCAAATCGAATATCAATCTTATATAAAAAAATTTTCCAAGGTTGCAAGAACCCATGCAAAGTTTTTTTTTTCCAAGGTTGCAAGAACCCATGCAAAGTTAATAAAAAAATTAATAATCTTAAATCATAATAAACATATTTTTTAAGAATGAAATTTAAAAAAAAATAACTGTTATTTTTTACCCTAAAGTTTTATTTTTTTTACAATAAAATTGAGTTTTGTTGTGCCAAATCAAGTATCAATCTAATATAAAAATATTTTTTTTTCAAGTTGCAAGAACCCATAAAAAATTAATAAAAAAATTGTCAGCCCTAAATCTTAGTAAACACACTCTTTAAGAATGGAATTACAAAAAAAAAAAAAATGCAATGAAATTAGAAAATTCTCCAAACACTAAAAAAAGAGAAAAGAAACATTATTGAAATTCAGAGTGTTTCTCTCATAATCTATAATGTTTTCAAATGCCACATTTTTTTAAAGAAAAAATTGTAGTTTAATATTAATTTCCCTGTGAGGAGGAGCACACAAATCCCAACTTGACCATTTTAGCATCCTAGCATTACACATCGATTTTTCAGGCCATTTTTATTATTTTACAACCAATTTATTGAGCTGGCAATTTCGGGTAGGGAAGATGGTAAGGCCACCAACACCAACCTTACACAGTCAATAATCAGCTCACCTGAAATACTTCATGACCAACACTTTCTTCTCCTTCTTTCTTCCATTGTTGGGTTTTCTTGCAACTCTCCAAACCTTTACCAGAAATCCACTTCCCCGACCGAAATTAGAAAGCGCTGCCAAGTTAAGTGCATTGCGTAAACTGCCTAAGCCCATGCATGCCATTTTTTTCAAGCTTAGTGTCTAACACCCAGTTTGGTGAGTTAGCTCATCTCCCGTCTTTTCTTCACATATCTTGCATATGCTATATTCATCGTCTTCCGCTTAGACTTTCTTTAGACCTCTATCCTCTCAATGGAATTGCCAGTGAAGGCACCAGTGTCTGGTGGCCAGAAAACTTCGTATACAATAGAAACCAAAAAATTGTCCTACAAGTTATGCAGCAAATTTGATGAGTTCAACTGGATCTGTTGTGGAGAGACTCCAAGAGGAGTTCCAAAACTCATTCTGAGGGACGTGAACTGTGCAGCTAGGCCCGGAGAGATTACCGCAATTGCTGGTCCTAGTGGAGCAGGGAAGACCACATTACTAGAGATCCTTGCTGGAAAGATATCTTCATGTAAGGTGTCTGGTCAGGTTCTGGTAAATAGCCAGCCAATGAAAGAAAAACATTTTCGGAGAATATCCGGGTATGTGACTCAAGATGATTCTCTATTTCCATCGCTAACAGTTAAGGAAACACTACTGTACAGTGCACTTTTAAGGCTTCCAGGAGGGAAAAAAGAGGCTGCTAATAGGGTGAGAAGGCTACTGAAGGAGCTTGGACTGGAACATATTGCAGATTCAAGGATAGGTGAGGGATCAAATTGGGGCATTTCCGGTGGCGAAAGGCGTAGAGTTTCGATTGGAGTTGATTTAGTCCATGACCCTGCCGTTGTTTTCATTGATGAACCAACTTCAGGTCTGGATTCAACATCAGCTCTTCATGTATCGACTCTGCTCAAGTCAATGGTGGTAAATCAAGGTAAGACCATTGTTTTAACCATCCACCAACCAGGCTTTCGAATACTCGAGCTGTTTGATCGCCTTGTTTTGCTTTCCAATGGATATGTTGTCCACGATGGCTCATTGCATTCTCTTGAGGAAAGACTGAAGTTTTATGGTCATCAAATTCCTCTCCATGTCAACGTGCTTGAGTTTTCCATCGATGCCATAGAAAGCCTGGAAATGCAAAATTCAGTGTTTATCACCAATGACTGCTCTCATGAGACCAGAAATGAGGGAGGCCATACCATGAGGACCCCAAACTTTAACAATCATCAAGAAAAGCCTCTCTGCTATCCTAATTCCATATTGGGGGAGGTTTTCATACTAGGACAAAGGTTTTGCAACAACATTTTCAGAACCAAACAACTATTTGCTACAAGAGTGATACAAGCGCTGGCCGCTGGACTTATACTTGGAACCATATACTTGAATGTTGGAAAGAAAACGGGGGAAGTTGCTTTGCAGACTCGAATCGGGTTTTTTGCCTTCAGTCTCACCTTCTTGCTATCTTCCACAACAGAAGGCCTGCCTATCTTTTTGCAAGAAAGAAGAATACTGACAAGAGAGACCTCAAGAGGTGCTTATAGAGTTTCTTCTTATGTTTTATCAAACACCCTCATCTTTCTTCCTTTCCTTTTAATGGTTGCTCTTCTCTACTCTGCCCCTGTTTACTGGCTTGTCGGATTGAGGAGGGCAATTGATGGATTTCTGTACTTTTCTCTAGTGGTGTGGATGGTGATTTTGATGTCGAATTCGTTCGTTGCTTGTTTCAGTGCACTCGTGCCTAACTTCATAATGGGGACGTCAGTGATTTCAGGACTGATGGGATCCTTCTTTCTGTTCTCCGGTTACTTCATATCGAAGAATAAGATTCCTAGTTACTGGATTTTCATGCACTATCTGAGTTTGTTCAAGTACCCATTTGAATGTTTTTTAATAAATGAATATGGAGGAGAGCAAGGCAACATGAGGTGCATAGAGTATGATGATAAAGGGGAATGCAAACTTTATGGAAGTGGGTTCCTAAGACAGCGAGGCCTGAAAGATTCACGAAAATGGAGCAATTTAGCTGTGATGTTGGCTTTTATTATTGGGTACAGAGTGCTATGTTTTGTGATTTTGTGGTTCAGATGTTACAGGAGAAGATGAAATTGTTCACCAGCCTTTTGATCCTGTTTTTATTGTTTTTACTCGATATTCTTCGAAGATCAAGCCAGCCTATACAATCTCTCTACATTACTTGTCTATTTATATGTGATAATAAGTAAAAGATAACAAAAAAAATTATCCATGTACATGCTTTGATAAAAAGAGAAGCTTGCCCTGTTTTTGTTTGCCAAAAATTCAAACGAGTGCAAGAATTTAAAGTACTGGATCGATACCTCCATGGATTTTGCTTCCAGGGGACGAAAAACAGGCACAGAAAAGCTGAAAGATGCTCAAGTAGTCAAATGCGAGGATCATTTCAATGCTACTGTAACTGTAAATGGATAGCTTTTGCTCATACGAATACGAGACAACATCTACAAAATGAAAGAACAAAAATTTATCTGCTAAAAAGCTGTCCTCGTAAATTTTATAAATGCCCAGCTCAGATTTCTTGAAATCGTTTGCTTTCACAGCGTAAGTCACTTGCTGGTAGCTTAAAATGACAGCACTTGTGAATATCATAGAAACATACATTTTAAATATTATTAAAATATCTCAATAATATTATTTGTTAACAAAAAAATTATATAAAAATAGAATAACTTCATAAAAAATAAAAAGATTTTAAAGCTTAATTATCAATAAATTAAATACAAAAAAACAAACTAAAAAAATTAATTTTTAAAAGATAAAAAAATATAGCTCGAGTAAACATGCAAAATTCAAGACCCAGCCATTAGATCATGATAACCCCATATAAAAAAAATTAAATTAAATATTAGAGGTTAATTCTTAATCAAATTAAATAATGGAAGGATAAACTACAAAACAAAATTAATTAAAAAAATATTAAAAAACCTGAGTCAACTCTAATTAAGTAGATCAATCCGTGATCTAAATCATGAAACCAAAATAATCCTATAAAAAAATAGACAAAATCATAAATAACAAAATCTAATAACCTAATATCAAAAGATAAAATAAAAAATAATTTTTTTTAAAAAAAATCGAAGTCAAATTGAAGTAATTTTTGAAATTTGTAACTCTAGTCATGAGATTAGGATTATCCTATAAATAGTGAATATGAAAAAAATCATGAAGCGAAATTCTCAATATTCAAAATAACAAATGATGAAATTAAAAATAAATCAATCAAGAAAAAAATTAGAAAATAAAAAAATAGCAATCAAAAGAAATAACCAAATATAGTATAAAAATTAAATAAAATAAAATAATAAAAAATGAAATAAAAAATGATAAAAAAATAAAAAAGCATTAAAAAATAAAAACTAAATTAGATAAAATAAATGAATAAAATAAAATATTTAAAATATTTAAAAAAAAAAATTAAAATAATTGCGAGACCATTCATGTCTACCACATTAACTGAACCATCTCTATAATCTGCCGAAACTAAGCTCCTGCTGAGCAGACACCAAAATCTATTGCCGAATTCTGTCACCAAGTTTCAGAGCAGCTTTGTTCCAGGGAGGCAGATTACATATAATATTATTGTGACTCGGGAGATCATTCATTTTATGAGATGCATGAAAGGAAGAAAAAGGCTACATGGGTATCAAAATGGATTTGGAAAAAGCTCATGATCGTCCCAAGTGGGTTTTCATCAGTTTCAGATAATATCCCTTGGCGCCCGACCTCAATTCCAAAGATCACTGAGAGCCCTCAGCAGTAGGGATCATCTTCTCCTTGATTCATATTTTTGTTTAGATGCACCTCGTTTTGGAGGCTGCATTTGCCGCTTCTTGTTTTATTCGTTTTCCTTGGCATTCATGTTCATATTATGATTATTGTCTACATTGAACAACAACAAATTCAAGTCCTGCTTAAGTGGATAGATAAATGCTCAAGTCAAAGCAGCAACAAGGTGGAGCTGAGGCTGGCTACTATAAATAGGATGCCTATTTTAATTCGTAACTGTTGCAAACTATTTCCCAAAGTCTTCAGTTAAGCTACAGGCCAGCGTCCACTAATAGAAGACTGGAAGTCTACTGTGATAAAGAGCTCTGCTTCATGTCTGCATTCTTTCTAGACAGAAAGAAATGAAAAGAAAAGATCAACAAAAATGGTGGTATGACACTGATAATGTTAGTAAATCTTTTCAGATCACTTCATATTTCTCTTCTTTATTAAGGGGAAAAAAAGGGAAGAAAGAAAATCATCTTTTTTTACAAAAGAATTGACGAGGAGATTCTCACTCCTAGAAAAGCTAACGCTACCAAAAAAATCTCTTTTAAAAGCAAACCTGGCTCTCATACTAGCTCCCAACAATAAGACTTGGAGAATGCTGTTAATTGCCCCGGTCATATATAGAACTGAAGGTCATGGTAGCGTATGAAGTGTCCACTCCTGATGATGAAGATGAATTTTCGACCTTGCCTAAAGTCGAAGATGAATTCTTCATTTCCCACTTGTTATTCTGATCTTTTCCACCTTTGTGTTTCGGCATTTTGTCACCTTTAAAATTCGTGAATTCAGACAGGAAGCCAGGCCTTGATATCTTGTCATTCACTTCTATCTCACCCATTAACATCATGACAACAGTAGACATGGATGGACGCTGCTTTGGCACGTCTTGGATGCAAAGAAGACCTATCTTCAGGTAATTGCAAGCCTCTTCGACATCATAATCCCCAGCCAACAATGTGTCCACCAAATTAACCAGCTCCTGCTTCTGATAAAAATCCCATACCTGCAGATTGCATCTTTACTCAACAAGATCTCTGTGTGACCAAATTCAAAAGACAACTACTTTGAAGCCCATTAAACTTGATTTGAGAGATGAAATAAGATTATTGCGCCATTTAAGCTGAAAAGCCATTGATTACTGAAAGAAGCGCTAAATAAGAGCTGACTGCTCCTCTTTTTCTTTTTTAAACCTAGAACGAACTGCTTTAGGAAACAGACATCTATAAAGGATCAAATAAATGCTTTAGGAATCGATTGCAAAATCCATTCAGCTCCAACTGACATGAGGAACAGGGAAGTAAGGGTTATGAAACGAGAGCAGGGCAGAAAAGGAAAGATCGATGCTTCATATGAGAAATAATGTTTGTATACTGACTCCCTAAAATAACAAAGAGCTCAAAGTTCAAGACGTAGAATTGTAGATTGAAGATGGAATGGTGTTTCTAGTCTGAAATGGGCAATTGATCCATCCAACATAGAGCAAAAATGAACAATTATTCTAGAGGGTTTTGATGGCTGATGCTTCAACTTGAAGTGATCTGCAAAGATACAGTTGCAGTGTTATTCTACAGAATAATGCATAAGAAAGGACATCAAAACAGCACTCCCCCAACACGAAGTTCAATACAAGTAACATTTGTCTCACTGGAAAAAGAATTGGCTACCTAATTAAAACTGAAATCTGTTTTTGTCTTCTAATCCTATGGATTCCTATCTTACAAGGAAATTACTGAACACCACCAATGTACTCCATGTCATCACAAGTCAAGAAAGCCCACATGCAACACCATGAAGAAAACATCATGGTCATATGCACAAAATAAGAGTACTCTAACACTCCATACCATTTGAAAATGAAGATTTAGTCCCATTTACATGAACTCAACAGAGAAAGGAAACTGAGTGTAGCCAATGCAAATGCAGCCTACAAAGATGTATCACTTTAGGAAAATACAGCATTACTGAAATAAATGTTAGATGCAGGAATCGATAACCCAGCTAGTGAGTGGTCAGATAGGAGCAAATTAACTAGTATGTACTCAATAATGATTAGCTATCAAGGAAAGAATCTCTGATCTTCGTTAAAGAGAATTATCTTTGATATTCTATTAAGAATAAGACCTGAATTTTCTTTAAAAGCACTGAAGACAAAATTGCAGTGAGTTCAAAAGGCTCATACCCTTTCAACCAGATGTTGCTCTTCTAGAGGAAATTGCCTATTTTGGTTGGACCTCCCACTAACAATTTCCAACAATAGAACACCAAAACTGTAAATATCAGCTTTCCTTGTCAACTGACCTCGAATTGCATATTCTGGCGCCAGATATCCTCTGCACATGTGAAACAAGAACAGGAAATTGTTTAGCTATGGCTCCACAGACAATTTGGTCAAATATGCAAAACGAAATTCTATTTAGCTATGGCTCGAGTCCATTTTGTCAAAGTCTCATGTTATCACTTTTCGATAAGCATACTGCATATTTTAGCAGGCTCCACAGTAGCTTGTCTCAATTTAATTTCTGCATATTAAATTGTTCAATTAAATCATGACGCATCAAAAATTAAGAGTAATAACAGTCGATTCACCCAACTTATGAAGGAGGGTATGGGTCACTGTTAGATGATCCCGCCCACCTCAGAGATATAGCATGGGAAATATATGAGAGGAGATGCACTAGTATGGCATTTTTGAGGCCATCCATCTTATTTGTTAAGGAAAGTAAGCAGCAGAAATTAGGCTATACACTAGTAAAACTGCTAGGAGTTGCATTTCATTTTACAATTCATCAAATACAATACCTGTGAGAAGAAAGTATAACAGAGTTTATGAACTTACACAGTTCCAGCAACGTTTGTGCTAATATGAGTCAGGTTGGCTGGGAAAAGTTTTGCAAGACCAAAGTCTGAAATCTTGGGTTCAAGTTCATCATCAAGGAGAACATTACTTGCTTTAATATCCCTATGAACAATATGTGGCTGGACTTCCTCGTGAAGGAATGCAAGCCCTCGTGCAACTCCAATGCATATTTTGCGCCTTGTAGGCCAATTGAATTGGATATTGCTACAGCCTCCACCTAAAAGATGAAGGAAATTTATAACATTAGCTGTTTGCAAACAAAAATCATGAATGAATGGTGGGCTTACCAAGAAGTGTTTGTGCAAGGCTGTTATTCTTAAGATAGCCATAGACCAAAATCCTATGGTTTCCCTCAGCACAATAACCGTACAATTTAACCAGGTTGTTGTGCTCTATATCTGCAATCACTTTTATTTCTGTCAAGAACTCCTTTAAACCTTGCCTTGATTCAGCTGACAGTACCTTTACGGCAGCCATGGTGCCATCTTTGAGCATTCCCTGTCCATTAAATCACTGGAATTCAGATTGAGGAGAAATCCGATAGCAACGCATTAAAACCCTCAGAATCCCCTAAGAGGTTGTTCACAAAGCCATAAGCATGTAAAATCACCTTGTAAACAGAGCCAAAACCTCCATGTCCAACTTTATTGGCTGGATTAAAATTGTCAGTGGCCATTCGCAATTCCCTGTAAGTGTAAGAGCAAGTGTTCTGTGCCCATGAAACCTCTGTACCATAGTACATAGGATAAAAATAATTAATATGAGCACTGAGCTTTGTGTGTGATCGAGAAAGTGCCCATTTTGCCGAAGAACAAAAGGAGGGGGGAAAAAACAAGAAGGAAAAGCAAGTCAGAGAATCGTGCTGTGCGCAGCTTATGTGACGACTGCTATTTCACCTCACAAACTTTTTGGTCATAGAAACAGGCCTGAGAGAAATTGATTCGGTAAATTCTCAGACCATCATAATAAAAGGAAGAGTGTCAGTTAACGAATATTTTCTCTTTAACAGAGACAACAATTAGTCTATTCAGTTGCATACCATCAACTTCTGTGGTTTGTGTAGCTCTGGAAACTCCCTTCCTTTTGCAAAAAAAAGAAAAACAAGTCATCAGCAGATTGTTATGATGGACAAATGCCTCCACCAAAATCAAGTCCCAGCCCTGCCAAAAATTAAATCATGAATCATTATGAAATCCCATTCACGCAAGCCTATTCTTGCACAATCAAAACTTGATAGTTATTTCCTGACAGATTGAAAAGAAAAAGGTATGGAGTCATTTGTCAGTCAAATGATGATGGCAACGACAATCATATTGCAAATGTTCTTTTTTCCCCTCTGAATCAATACGTTTTGCGCATGCAAACAGATAGCACATTCTCACAGTTTCTCATACTTTATAGAAGGGAAACAATGAATACGAAAGCAAGCTTTTTTCCATAGAAAAAAGAATCTGGTACCGAAAGGACTTAAATCTGAGTGCCCAAACTAGCAGCAAAGCAAATTACAGGAAATACTGTAATGCTTTTTCCATAACAGGCATTCAAATTTTCAAAGAAGATCCTGATCACATTTGGACACCATTAAGAATATTCCTTACTGAGAATCTGAAAACTATAAAATACTCTTCCAGTTTTAGTATTCTGAAGGTATTAAATTGAAGTATAAAACTGTTGGCAAACCAATAACTGAACCCAGAAAACCGAAAGAGTTATTTGGCAGATTCCAATTTCTATAGCATTCAAATGACCATGGCGTCTCAATAACTTGAGAGTCTTCCATAAAAGTTTTAAGCAAAATACTAAGAAAAATATTTGTACGAATTAAAAGACCTAAAAAGCACTTGAAGCAGACCCAAATCAGATTCCATGAACACAAATATCTTCAAAGAGCATGAGTAAATAAGCACAACAAATTCAAACAAGGGCACTAAGACAATGGTCTTTGAACAACCTAAACGAGAAATAAAGAGTAAACATAAACAACAAAACTTGAATCAAATGAAGGTGGTGATGTTCATTGATCTGAACCCGATGACTCCATTATGGGATTGAACTAAAAACATGGATCAGAACTTATGAGTTAAACTTGTACATGGGATTTGCACAATTTAAGCCCTTGATAACAAGACTCTTCATCCAAGAGATTCTAAAGCCATCAGGAAATAATAATGTCAGCCCTCCCCTACTGTCTAATCATCTAGCTTACTAGTTTAACATCATTAAACAAACGATTGAGAAGCAAGAAACTTTCTTTCTTGTTCCTTTGATAGCTGAAAAGACACAAAACTACAAATAAAAAATAAAGATTCCGACTTCGTTGTTTAAGCCGTTGTTAAAATACAAGTTGATGACTTTTCTTTGTTTCTCCATTGTGCAACAGTTTCTTGGCAATAAAAAAGATTAGCAAATAAATGGCTCTACATCACCTCAGTCGGTTGGTGCTGGCTAATGGCAGTAGCATAAATGGATAGATCAAAGCAAGTTTTAATGCAGGCAGAAGCAGATGAGGTAAGAGAGGCTTATAGAAATCCGGTCGTTGAGGTAAGAGAAGGTAAGAGAGGAAGAGTCTTATAGAAATCCGGTCGTTGAGGTAAGAGAGCAGAAAAAACATAAAGAATTTTAGACACGGTGCTGTCAAAGGGTTTTGGGCATCCATAAATCTAAACTAGGAATTGAGTTGAATAGTTCCACATGACAAGATATCAAGTCAAAGTCTCCAACCACTGCTTCCGGTGATAATACGGTTTCTCTTATGGAAAATGGGTTCTTAGAATCATTTTCTAATTATTATTTTTTTGTTCGTTTAAAACAATTGATTAACAAAAATTAAATTAATTTTCAAGAAGTCAAACTTTTTAAAAATTATAAAAAATTTAAAAATATAAATTATAAAAATTTATTGATTATATTTTTTAAATTTTTAATTGTTATATATTTTATTTCAATTTTTTTAAATTTTATTTTTTAAATTTTAATTTAATTTATTTATATAAAACTAATTTTGAAATATAAAAAATATTATTTTAATATATTTTCAAATAAAAAATAACACAACCTCTATCATTTCATGGTGCTGCTTCCATTGCCCACAGTTAAATCTATTAGATTACAGACTTTAAAAAAGAAAAAATATTTAAAAGGTTAAATATTTGACAAAATAAGAAGAGTTTTAAAAGGAGGAGGAAGGAAGCATCTGCAAATTTTGTTTTTGTTCGAAATGTCCATTGATATGTCAACGATGAGTTTCTGTCATGAAACCGATCTTACGGGTCCCAGCATGAGATATAGTTTCCACCTAATTCTATACAGGCAGTTCATGCGAAGAAGAAGAAGACGACGACAGCCAGCCCTATCAATCCAGGAATAGAGAAGAACAATTTTTGAGATATTGTTTGAAAGTAAAGTTATAGTTATTTTTTAAAATATTTTTTTATTTAAAAATATATTAAAATAATAATTTTTATTTTTTAAAATATATTTTTGATGTTAATATATTAAAAATAATCTAGAAATATAAAAAAACAAATTTTACCTGATATCCATTTAAACACAATACCATCAAATGATGGTATCTGTCGAATATTTTCTTTCTTGTATCTCACGCAAATAAGGATCAATCACAACTCGCTAATCCACAAGACAATTCAGTTCCGACCAGTCAAATGATAATGACCGCAACAATTACTAGGCTGGAATTTTGACACACCCCGTACCGGAGAAAGTTTCTTTCCTTCTCTTTCTTAAGGTGGAGGCACCTGCCGGGAGTAATTTGAGCAGTTCGAGGAAGCTTCCCGTCATTATTGAATTCTCTTCCCTGTTCCGACTAGAACAAGACTAAAGGAGGATAAGAAAATGTCAAGCAACCAAAAGAGATGAGCTCCACCATAATCCCAATCTTTCCAGTTAGTTTCGAGGAAAAGATGACTCATTTAAACCATAGACAAACCCATCAGCCGGAGACCTTCGATGCAATAGACGGGCAGGAGGAGGCCAACGCATCCAATCAACCCTGCAAGACTGCAGCGACCAGTATGACTGCTCGGAGACGGATTTAAAGAAACATAAAATCAAATCAGTGTTGCGACCAGTATGACTGCTCGGAGACGGATTTAAAGAAACATAAAATCAAATCAGTGTTTTCAAGCCAGTTATTTATATCCTCTTAAAGAAAAGAAAATGCTCATTTGTACAGGGAATGACAGCAATTGAATTCATAATCAAATATGAATTCAATTATTCCATTTTCTTATATCGAAGACATGTTTCAAGGAGCCGAAAATAGACTGTTACAAACATAATAGCACTATGGATGTGTGAAAAGCATTGGCTTTGCGAGCTCCAGCGCTTTATCACGCCCAAACAGCTTCTCCACGATTCCCAGGGCAAACTCTATTGTGGTGCCAGGACCTCTGCTGGTGATGAGGTTGCCATCAACCACAACCCTGTTTTCAATCTCACTTGGATCCGACAGCTTGTTACACATTGCAGGAAAAGCTGTGGCCTTTTTACCCTACACCAAAGGAAAACAAATATGTGATCTCAAAGCAGTGCCGGCGAATTCTCAGACCGAAAATTGGGGGGGGGCGGGGGGACACAGTTTCATATGCTAAGTGCGTAAACTAGGGGACAGTTTCATATGCTAAGTGCGTAAACTAGTATAAGATCCAATACATGAAATGCAGGATCAATTTGGTTCTGGATTATGTCGGCCTAACAAGTGGAAATTAACTTGGCCCTTGTAGCATCTACCGACTTTCAATACCATCTCAATACCTCAAACAACACCATTAATTAATAGTTTACAACCATTCGTCATTGCTATTTAGGATGACATAAATATGAAATGCTCCTGCATGGCCATCTGAGCTATTTGACACCAATTACCTCCAGATGATAATTAAAGTACTAGGCTAAGGATTTTATCTGTGAAACAAGAAGCATAAAGGTATAATTATAACGATCTCAAGTAAAATTGTCCATCTCATAATATGTAATAGTAAGCCACATTACTTCAAACACCTTGAAATCCAGAATTTTCACTCCAGTGGTGTCAATGGTGAAGAAATGAGCTATCTAAATGGTATTAGAAGGCAAATGGCATATGCTGCGACATCATGACCAAATTTAGTTCTAAGCCACTTGGCAGCTAAGTTTGCAAGGCCACATGGCTGTTTGAATGTGATTTGAATCTGACCATTCAGTGTCAAGGTTTACATGAGCTGAAGAACCAGCAATTTTTCTACTATCATCATCTCTCAAGTAAATCTCTCTTTGGAGGTTCAATGTAAATATTTGGACCAAGTTGTTTCCATTTTACACACTTTAAAAATGTGCTACAAGTAAAACATGTTTAATTCATTAGGGTAAGAATGTTTCTTCGGGGAGGGGGGCAAATTGTTTTTGGTGAAAGGACCAACTAGCTCCAAAGAGACATTAGGGCAAGAATATGGTAATAAAAAATGATGAAACCTAGCACAAATAGAGGTGGCCAGGTAGCCTGATCCAAATGATAAGCAAGTAACCAATTCAAATGATAAGCAAGGAATCACCTGCCTTCCACCTCAGCTACCAAGCAGCACAGGAATATATTTAATAATTACCATGTAAATAATCATAAACACCAAAAGCAATCAGAACCTAACAGCTCTATGATCAACTTGTGCTATCTTGATTAAACCAGATAGAAAATATTAAATAACTCGATATTTTACAAGAAATGTTGTTGATGTTCAATTAAATTGATGCTGGTCATGGTGATACCTTGAGTAAGCCATGAGGCTCCAAGACTAAAGCTGGAGATGCACACATAGCTCCATACGGTCTATTTGATTCCCTCTGCTTCTTTAGCATATTCACCAGCTTTTCGGACTTTGCAAATGCTTGGGCACCACCAAGCCCACCCTGCCACAATGCAATTATGCAAAAGTTTTGGTAAGTGGTAATGCCTATAGATGCCTATCACCAAAACAGGAAAAAAAAGAAAAAGAAAAAACTTACCGGCAAGACAATTAGGTCATATGAAAGTTTAGCAGCCTCATCAAGGAGCATATCTGCCTCTAGTTTAACTTTACGAGAGGCCAAAATTTCCAAGCTGTCCTCAACTGAGGCCACCACTACATTTACTTTAGCTCGTCGCAGAATGTCAATGATTATAATAGCTTCCATTTCCTCTGTGCCATTAGCAATAGGTACAAGAACCTGCAAGGAAAGAAAATTTAAATATACATAAAACATCAAACACATTTTCCACAAACAAACAGATAATGTCAATTTGCATCAGTGGCAATGTCATAACATTGAAGGGTGGCAACGGGTTAAAGATTAACTTCAAGGCATTAAGTAATTGCTTCCCATCATTTGGATATGAATTGTGACCATCAGAAAGTATCACAACCACTTTCTCACCCACACTTCAACAAAAAACAAGTTATTTATGATTATTCAAAATTTAGTTCTTATCTAGTTCTGACCTTGTGATAAAACCAGTTGGATGAACTCAGGTCACTGGACCAGTCAAGATAAGGCAGTGCAAATTATTACTTCAAGAAGTCTAGACTCTATAGTAATGGAATTGGGCTTTACAATATATCATATGCCAAGACATTTCTAAGAACCCGAATAACTTCAGCAATAGTTACAACAGTTGTGGATACAAAGTCACTTGGCAATTAGTTTACATGGTATAAATTATAGGTTTCCACTTCTTGCATCTTACATTTATGGAGATGAATAAGATTTGCTCTTTCACAAATCTGAACCACAGTTGTTAGACAATGCCTCTCATTGTATGAGACACCATCCACAGTATAAAACATAGTAGTTATTATTTAACAAGTCCTTGTTAGCAATAGATAACATTAGACTGTAAGAATTTACCCCCTCAGCTACAGTCACTACTCAAAAATTGCACCAGACATCACTGAAGCCAATAAATTTCATGTTTGCTTATTATATATTGATCTATACATGTATAACTCACAGAAAAGAATGAAGATTGCCCTGATGAATGGTTGGGGGAAAATGGGAATTAAAGATGAAGAACAAGGACAATAAAAGTTGCTGAAATCTAACCTGAGGAACATTGTCAAAGGTCCACTGCATTGGATTTAGCTCTTTTATGCTATATTCATCCCCATGGTTGGAACGCATCACCTACATACAAGATAACAGTAATGAATAGCCCAGTGGAGATACATTATCAAGTAAAAACACATTACATGTACAGAAGAATTTAATGCAGCAAAATTCAAGAAATATGTGTTCATAACTGCAGAAGCATTTCTCCATACAGATAATCATGAAAAGCCAAGGATACTATCATGCTACAAACTATATTTAAGATAGAAGAAAACAATAACTAAAGCACAGGCCTTACATTTCTTTCATTGATAGCTGATAAGTACGTTAGAGAACACAAAACAGAAGACAAAACTCAAAATAGATGAAGCGCGCAAAAGAAACCCCAGCAAATGGAAAAAGAAAAAACACTAACACTGCCCACCAAAACCAGAAAAGAAGAATAGAAAGCACAAGTAAACCAATTT